CACTCCCATCTCAGTAAAGAGTTTTAGAGTAAGCTAAACCCTTAGAAGGTACTTTCTAAGCAGGTATATCTATCATTGTGTCTGGAATGAAAAAGGACAATTAGAAAACTGGAACTCTAGCTACAAAATAAAAGTTTATTTTTTCTAAACTGATGTACCTGTCATTTTGCCTGGAAAGAAAAAGGACAATTAGAGAGAAAACTGAAATCTAGCTGTAAAAGAATTTTATTATTAAATACATAGGGTCAGCATGAATCAGAATCCACTCCTGACCAACTGGTTTGGTTTGGTCTTAATCTTTTAATACATAAATATAAATAAGTATATTTATTACCTTATTTCAATAACTATATTATCCCCACTTCAAGGTAGGCTTCGTGGGGAAAAAATTAATTTATTATTTATCCATTATATATATGACTAGACTACAACAATATTATCAGAGAGAACAGGTCTTTGAAAATATAGTTGAGAGAACAGTGCAGCAATGAAGGAATGAAAACCCAAAATCCCTGTAAATGTTCATTAAAACTAATAAAATTTAAAAAAGAAAATATAGTTGAGATTGTAAGCATTACAAAGAGCATTTAACCCAGTGCCTGGACTCCAAGTATTTAATTAGAGGTGTACATTATACCTATGAAAAAGGTAATGCAAAATAAACAGTCATGAAATGAGTTAAATGGCATCTCAGAAATATGCACACATAGAACCATTATTAAGTATATTATTTTAGGTCATTACATATTTCAAAGCAATGTAAATATAAAAAATGGTATCAGAAAGTTTTTAGAATCAGAAAATAAAAATAGTAAAGGAGAATACAAGTGAGAGGATTTAAATATGAAGTAATTTTATATTCACATGGTGCGTGCGCGCGCGCACGCACGCACACACACACACACACACACACTCTAGAGTCTAACTGCCTGCCTTTCACAGGTCTTCCCTGAAGCCTACCTGATTTACATCATATCATCTCAGGCTCTAGGTTTTCACTGAAGATGAAAATCAGAAAACTCATTGGGTGTTTTACATTCCAAAGTATTATATGTTTTCCTTCTCTTACCATTTTTATTTAACATTAGATATTAAAATTTCATAGTTCTTAAGATCTCTAAGTCTCCAAATACGCACTTATAACAAAAGTGTTTGCAACAAATGGCCCAATATTTAACACTCAGTTCAAAGATTAAAACATCAAACAGGTAAAAATGTCCCTGATTTGAAAGTAAATTCAGTGCCTTCATTTTCATGAAATATTCTTGTCAAAAAGTTTTCTATTTGTAGGGGTGGAGGAACCTTGAAATGTAAATATGTAACTGACAAGTGGCATTTTTAGTTTTATTTAACAAAATACATTTTCTAATACTTACTAATAAAGCAAACCAAAAAGACTAATCAAAGTAGCCTAACTGAAACTGAGTCATTCTATAAACACTGTCTTAATATTTTAAAGTTGTTTTCTTGTAGTCTAAATGTTTAGTCTTGGTCTTTGCAAAGGTGTTATTTCAGTTTTACAATTTTTTTTAAACTGGTCACTCTGCGCTGTATTTTATTGTTCTTCCCAGTATTATTTTTATATGATAGTCAAGAACTCTGACAGTACACATTTTTTCCACAGATTTTGTTTAATTCTATCCTCCCTTCATTCAGGTCCTTGCTAAAATGTCAGAGTCCTTCCCAGACCACACTAACTAAAATTGCACTCTTCTCTATTTCTCCTTTTGCCCTGAGCCTATCACTCTGTTTTGTTTCTTGCTCTTTTTTCTCCCCGCCTTAGAATTCATTACAATCTGAAATTACATATTTCAAGGACAGGACCTCAGTGGCACAGAGCATAACATGTCAGGCTGCTAACCAGAAGTTTGGCAGTTCAAATCCACTAGGCACTCCAAGGAAGAAAGATGAGGAGCCTCGTCCCATAAACATTCGTAGCCTTGAAAACTTGGGTGGAAAGTTGCTATGAGTCAAACTTTACTCAACGGCAATGAGATTTGGTTTTTTAAGGCTATTTTGTTTTGGTTTTTTTTAAGCTCCACTGTGGTAGATACTGTATTTCCTCTGCTCTATTCTCAGTGTCCAGAATGATGCTTGGTATATGATAACTGCTTAAGAAAAATTGGGAAGATGAAATTAGATTTACTTTATAAGAGTGCCACACTTACTAGCCAGACTCTTAATGGACATGCAAGCAAATCAAACCTATTGCCATCAAGTGCTTTCTGATTGGCAATAACCCCACAAAACAGAACACAGCTGTTTTCTTAAGCACACTGCTTCATCTTTCATCTGCAGAGGACTGGTGCATTCAAACCACTGACCTTTGGTTTAGCAGCTAAGAACTTATCCACTCTGTCACCCAAACTAAACCAAACTCATTGCCTTCAAGTTGATTCCAACTAATAAAAGCTCTCCTTCAGTTTCCCAAGGCTGTATTTACAGGAGGAGATGACCTCGTCTTCGTGCTGTGAAGCACCTGGTGATTTGAACTGCTGACATTTTGGCTGGCAGTCCATCACATAAAGCACTAGACCACCACGGCTCCTCATTTTACATGCTTACCAAAACACAAGGAAGCTATATGAATTCTCAAGTTCATACAGGAAGCCATACAATTATAGTCCTGACTTTCAGATCAAATAATAGTAGTAATTATATGGACTAGTACAAGCCTAAATTACTTATTACTGTCAATATGTATAAAAGTTTCTTTACTCAAAGTATATAAAATATTCACTAACAAAATAATAGCTATCAAAGTATATAAAATATTCACTAACAAAATAACAGCTACCAATGGCTATAAGGGAGAAAGATGGGCAATCTCGTTCTTTGCAATTTATAGCCTCAGAAACTCAACAGAAGGTCCATATGAGACGGAATCAACTTGGGCAGTGAGTGAGAAAAGCTACCAATCACCACAAGAACCTTCAAAGCCATGGACTCAGTGAAAGTTGGGTTGACATTTCCCCAAATTGGCAGGTAACAACTTTAAAGTTGAGATTTAAAATACATACCAAAGAACACCTCATTTGCATTAATATCGCCATAAAGCAGTCAAAGCTGATCATTCCTTCTTGGCTTGATAGTAGTTTGCTTTTCTCCATGGTATTTACAACTGCTGAAGCTCCTAAAGCCATTTCTATCCATTCAAGGAGATACCGCAGGGAACCTCGCTGAGCAGCTAAACCAAGCAGCAATTCAGAAGCTAATCTACGACCTAAAGTATCTGCCCCAGAATTGGGAATCGTTACACCTTTAAGAAATGTGGTTACTTGTGATAAGCAGTCTAAGCCCATAGGAGGAATCTTGCTTTCATTTGCTAAAGATAATGGTGGCAAAGAGCTCACAACTTCAATTGCAGTATGAATAACGTCATTGCAAAGGCTCAGACCAGGTCCCGACACAGGCATCATCCAACTTTGTCTTAGAAGTGCAAATAGTAAACTTAGACCAGTTCGAACACCCATTTCTATTAGTGCATCAGTGCTTGACCTTGGACGTTCACTGACAGAATGAACATCTGCTGAACCAGAGCTGCTCTCTGGAGAATGTTGCTGTTGTTTTACTTTGCCTTTGTCATGGTATTTATTAGAAAGTGCATAAAAGACACGCTGCAGTACAAGCAATCGTTTTCGAAGTGCCCCAGCAAATGGGGAATCTGAACAAACCATTTTTGCCAGTGCTAGCTGGCTGCTAAGAAGGGCATCCAAATAGTGGTCCTGCTCATCACTTGAAAGAGACTCGCGTTCAAAGTCTGGCAACTGTGGTCCTTTGAGGCACAAAACTTGTTGAGGCAAAGGTACTACTTCCTTATTGCTAACCAGTTTAGAATATAAAACAGCAACTCCTTCTCTTGTAGCAATAGATTCACTATCTTCTGTAATCCAGGAGCTGTTCAGATGTTCAAGCCATTTCAGTTTCACTGGTGGAACCATAGTTGCCATGTTGATTTACTCTTCAGCCATTAGTTCTAAAAAAGAGAGAAAACAGTTAAAAACTTGTATGTACAACTCACAAAACATTTCTAAACTTCCATTTTACATTAAAATTGGTGATTTCCAGTTGGTAAAATCACAATAAAATCGAGAATTTAGTTAACATAATGTATTATTGTTGTTATGTACCATCACCTTGGAACCAACCCATAGCTGAGCTGACCCTCCAGGGGGTTTTCAGCAGCTGTAAGTTTCACAGGAGGAGTTTGCTTTCTCCTTGGAGCAGCTAGTGGATTCAAACTGCCTTCCTCTGAATTGACAACACAGTTCCTTATCACTAGGCCATCAGAGCTCCTTCTAACATATTAGTATTAGTTTAATTTTAGTAAATGTATTATGGTTAGAAAATATATTAGTGGAAACTTGGTAAAGTATATATGGACACTGGAAAAACTATAAAGGACAGAGTTCAAATACAGAGATGCTTATATATTTGTTTAAAGGCAATGGAAAAAATCAGGACAAGGAATCAAAATTCTAGGGACAAGGAAAATCCACAGAAGTCAGTCTACATTCTGAAGATGCACTTCTTTGGAGCACATTTGCCAATTTTAAGAGGAGAGCAGGACAGTGAGAATCAGTTTGCTGATGCAGAAGCTTGCTGCTTGAGGAAAGATAAATCAGCAGAAGTTTTTGTTGTATTGAGAAGCTGTTGTTAGTTGTGTCTACTCAGCTCCAACTTACAAGAACTTATGTATAACATAATTAAGTGTTGCCAAGGCCTATGCCATCTTCATGGTCCTCAGTAAGTTTGAGCTCACTGTGATGGCTATTATGTCAATCCTCTCACTGAGGGAGTCCTTTTTTCCTGACCCTTTACTGTGCCATCTTCTAATATTATACTACGAGGAGGCCAGGGCACCAGGAATATTACTGCTGATGTCAGATGGTTGCTGGTTGAAAGCAGATAATACCAGAAGAAAGTCTGTTTGAGTTTTATTGACTATGCAAAGGTATTTGATTGTATGGATCTCAACAAACTATGGCTAATGGTGAGAAGAAGAGAAATCCCAGAACACTTAATTGTGCGCATATGAAATCTATACCTAGACCAAAAAGCTGTTGTCTGAATAAAACAAGGTAATATCACATGGCTTAAAATCAGAAAGTGTGTATGTCAGGGTTGTATCCTCTCTCCTTACCTATTCAATCCATATGCTGAGCAAATAATTAATGAAACGAGACTCTATGAAGAAGAATGTGGCATCAGGATCAGAAGACTCATCAACAACCTGCATTACACAGGTGATACAACCTTGCTTGCTAAAAGTGAGGAGAACCAGAAATGCTTGCTGCATAAGATGAAAAACTGCAGTCTACAATATGGATTCTATCTCAACATCAAGAAAACAAAGGTTCTCATCAACAAATGAACAGATAGAGAAGCTGTGGTATATTCACATAATGGAATACTACACAGCACAAAAAAACAAGGAATTAATTGAATATTATACAAAGTGGGTGACCCTAGAGGACATTATGCTGAGTGAAATATCTAAGTCACAAAAGAACAAACACTGCATAATGCCACTGTTATAAAACAGGACTGACACAGGGGTGAAAAGAAAAGGTGATAAATAAAGAACACTGCATTTAAATAGATGAAGGAAGGAACTGTCTAAAAGAAATATATGTTTATGTATTATCTGCATGACAACAGTCCAGAATAAGAGGTGTATAGCAAAGTGGACTGGGGGTTGGGAAGGTGGAGGAACTTTGTGCAACAATGAAAGAATCTTTTTAAAGAGAAAAGAGAATTGATGGAGGAGGTAGGGAGGAAAATATACAACAATGAATGAATGGAAATCCAAGTTTTCTGTAAATTTTTGTTAAAATATATATTTTTAAAAACATTAAAATTTAAAAAAGAAAACAAAGGCTCTTACTACTGGGCCAACAGGCAACAACATGACAGAGAAAGGATTGAAATTGTCAGTGATTTCATCTTACTTGGATCCACCATCAACACTCTTGGTACCAGAGATCAGGAGGCATACTGCATTGGGCAAGTCAGCTGTCAGGGATGGAAGACTAAGATGTGCCTGATTCGGACCACGGCCTTGTCAATTACATGTATGCATCTGAGAGCGGACAATGAACAAGAATGAAGAAAAAGAACTGGTATCTTGAAACTGCAGTGTTGGAAAAAGAGTACCGAGTATCCATGGACTACCAAATAATTGAATAGGCATGTCCTAGAGAAAGTGTAGCCAGAGTACTTTGGGCATGCTGACAGAAGTTATTCCTTGGAAATGGATATCATTCTTGGAAAGATGAAAGGTCAGTGAAAGAAAGAGAGGAAGATTCCCAACCTGGTGACTGCAACAATGCAATAAATTCAAGCATATTAGAGATGGTGAGGATAGCACAGAATAGGACAGGATTCAGGTCTTTTGTTCACAGGGTCGCTGTGAGTCATACTCAACTCAACAGCTCTGGTGGCTTAGTGGTAAAAAGTTGTGCTGTTAATCCAAAGACACAAGGTTCAAATACACCAGTTGCTCCACGGGAGAAAGATGGGCTATATCCTCCTGTGCAATTTACTGCCTCTGCTGAAGGGTCATTTATGAGTCACTTCCAACTCAATGGCTGGTACCCAACATAGCCACCACCTTAAAGTTGAGGACAAACATCTAAATCAGAAAGCATTTGCTGCCTATGTACAACAAAATGTGAAGAGACTAAGCATAAATCTTTAAGAAGCAGAGTTTCTAGCAATTTGCCTTAAGGAGATAATTCAAGTTGATAACCTGCTGGGAAAGAGGCCCCATGAAAATGGAAGCAATGAAGTGTTACTTCCAGAAACCAGGGAAATGAGTCAGTCTAACCAAAACCACAACTTAAGAAAGGCTCTATAACTTTTATATACAGTGTCCATCATGTAATAAAAAATGACTATGCATGACTAGAAACTTACACTAAAACCAAAGAAGTCAAACATAAAGGCAGCTCCAAAAGTGACCTGTATACTGGATGCAGCATATAACAACTTTAAAATAACTATAATTCGCATATTCAGAAATGAAAGAAGATTAAGAAGTCGAATGAAAAATTTCACAAGACAATTGGAAAAAAATTAAACGGAAATTTCAGGCCTGAAATACACAATCTCTAAAAGTAGCATGCACTTTAGCGTCTTTGTTTCCTCTGCTTATTAAACACATAGCTATACTATGACAAATATCTCAGAAGCAGTGCAGAGAATGTTTCCTAGACACAGACTGTGACACCTAGTCCCATACCTCAGGCATGTTGTCAGGAAAGCCCAGTCTTGGGGAAAAAAGTTGGGAAAGATGGAAGATCAGTGACAGAGAAAACCCTCAATGAACAGGAATGACACAGTAACTACAACCACAGGTGAAAGCAGAGATTGTGATTAGGTGTAGGACAGGGCAGGGTTTGATCTGCTCTGCACAGAGTTGTTACGAATTGAAGTTGACTTCATAGCATTTAATACCACCACGAACCAGTAACTTCTAGTAATTTATCTAAAAGGAAGTATATATCCATAATAAAGTGCTTACAGAAGTTTTATTCAATATAATGGAAACAGTCCAGGGATACATCAACAGAAGAATAGATAAGTAAGCTGTTTTTAAGTGAACATCACTCAACAAAAAAGGAATAAGCTATTCATTTGCAATAATATGGAAGACTCTAAAGAAAATTATGCTCAGTTAAAGAAGTCTTAGACATACAAAAATATTACATAGTATACAAAGACTTCCATGTACAAAGTTTAATAATAGTAAAAATTCACCTATAGTAGGGAAAAAAATGGTTGTCTCTAAAGAGTAGGGGCATGAATTACTTTCAAGAGTGATAGTAAAGTTCTATGTCGTGGCAATTGTTTGGATTACACATGTGTACATATTTATGAAAATTTAGCAAATATACACTTAAGATTTACTCACTGAATGTATACTTTAAGATTCCATTACAAGTAAAATTTACTTCAACAAATGCTGATCTCTAGCAAATGATCGTTAAGCTAAGTAAGTATTCAGGAGGATATATGGTGGTATCTGTAATTTATCTTGAAACAAATCAAAAGAAAGATGCAATATATGTTTAGGGGGTACAGATTGTGATAAAACAAAGATTAATAAAATATTATGAGTAAACTCTATTATGAGTAAGGCAGAGGGAATACACTCATTTATAAACCTTTCAACTTGCTTTATGTATGAAAATTTGCATCATGAAATATAGCAGGATATGTGGCAAGTGAAGTGCTGATTCTTAAACAAACCCTAAAGCCTGAAGAGAAATCCTCAGACCCTAAGAGAATGTTACTTTCATGATATACACAGGTTTTCAAGGAAGAGCTGCAGTAAAAGAAATCTCAGACTAGTTGAGTTTCCTATTTCTCAATCTGCCCTGTTAAATTCTAAATATAAAACCTGATGACACTTGCCTTCTCAAGTTTAGGATTACTAATGCCTACGTTATTTTCATCAGATCCTTGGAAAATGCAAACTTGGGGGAAGGGGGATCTGTGGGTTTCCATACTTCATTCAGTAACTATATATTAGACACCAGCAGTATGCACAGGATAGAAAATACTTTCTTTACCTCCATTCCTACAAGCCATGGTGGCTCTTTTAAATTTTGCTAGTTTGACTGCTGTAAAGATATATTGGTGCTCTGACTTGAATTTCCACGTTTTTAAATTCCAACACCATAACTTTATTGACTATTTGTATATGTTCTTGTGGGAAATGTTTATTCACATCTTTCTATTCATGCATTTTCCTGTTGGGCAATCTTTCTTATCAATTTTAACAGTATTCTGTATTTTATTCTGTTATGCCTTCAGTGTTGCAGGCTCCTTGCACAGAAACTTCTTCCATAGTTTCTGTTTTCCAATTTTGAGTAAGAGTCTCCCCCTCTCTTATGCATAGACGAGACATGAAATCCACAATATAACAGCTATTTCCCTAGGGGTT